TAATCCCACCTAATCGTAAACGTATTTCAGAATTTCGGTTAACATTTTGCGCGATCGATCACTGACTGCATGCGCCTCGTTGTTTGCCGAATCTAACACTTTGTAGTCGGCCTCTTGCTACTCAGATAGGACAGAGCACCGTTTGTGCCTTTCTGCCGTCGCTGATCCGGCATCTTTATTTAGAATTCTCATGCAATTTGTGCCCTGTAGGGTTTTTTTCTGGAAATATATTGCTACCTTCCCGAAACCCAACTCAAACTTGGGCCGTTGGCATAAAACTCGGTGAACATAAATGTTATGAGTCTGAGGCATTCCTCAAAGCCCGGTCCATCACACATCACCTACTTCTGATTCTTTTCAAAAAGGCTTCACTCGTCCCCTTACCGCCAACCTGCATACATATATATTGAGATGAAGTTCACGTCAATTCAATTTACCAGTATGCAGTCAGAACTTCACCGAACACGATAGAGAAAGAAGGCCAGAAGAAGTCATCCGTCTCGTTGACGTGGTCCCAGGAGTCCTGCCACCTCTGGTTTCCCGCAGACGGTCTCGAGACAGCCCGGGGGCTGGGTGGAGGGAAGAGGTTGAGGAAACGGGGGCGGGAGGGGAGTTAGAGCGAGCTCTCTGGTGCAGGTGTCATTCGAGCAGTCAGTTAACTGCTAGCAGGATTTGAGACAAAGGCCGGACTTGGGGGTGAGAGAGGAGCGGTGGTTAAACCGAATCAAGCAGACATTTCCGCTTGATCGAGCAAGGACCAACAGAGGAAGCGGAAGTAACAACTTGCTGTCTGTCCATCTCCTCTCCTCTAGGCGGTGGTGATGCAACTGAAGCCGCCTCCTTCTAGTTGCCATGATGCAGCTGTGATCAATGTTGAAAATTGAAGAGCAGTCAAAGGAGAGCTGGATAGGAAAACCGCATCCTAGTCAATTAAAGAAAATTGACCGGTCTGGCGAGGCGAAAACTGTCTGGCAGGTGTGCGCATGTGAGTCGTGTGTTATCGGAAACGACGATTAGATTGCAACGGCTCCTTCTAAATGCAACTCGTATGTGGCAGGCAACAGACGGTGTATGCGAGAGGGAAGTGTGAGGTCAGTCCAACTCACATCTAACGCGTACCTTCCTCACTATAAACAGTCGAATGCACTGTTAAACTGCCACAACACACTAGAAACCGTGAATTGGGAAGTTGTCAAATGGCGGCATAACTGGATCCTACTCAGGACCGCGTGTTGGACTGTAACTGGTCCCTTTCTAATGTGTCTTTGATGGCGTTCCCACTTACTTGAAACTCGAGACTCAATTCCTCCCCTGAATGAAGCCTGGTACTTGGGAATTCAGGGGCTATATAGTGTGTAGCATGGGTAGACGGACTGGTTAACCCTGTGAAGAGGGAGACACGGTCGACGGAACAAGAATTTAATGCACCTGGCGTTTCGAATTCCTGCTCGATTTTATCGTCAGCAACAGCATCAGATAGGGGTTAGACCCTGCGTCCGAGCCCATCTGCGACCGTCTTCACTTCGTCTTGCCACCTGAGCCTGTCAATTGTGAGTGAAGACAGAATGAGGAGGGGGAGTAGCGCAAACCTGGTTCGATATAAACGAATCCACACACACAAAACCCAACTGCTGAGTCCACCCTCGGGGAAGATTTATGGACCTCGTCACTTGCGACGACTGAATATGTGTGTCATTTCCGTTTGCACTGAGTTGCTTCGAATGTTTGAGCCTGTGTGTATGAAGTGACGTCTCCGTCGAGTCGCTGGCGTTGGGCATTCATGTTTCGTCCGAACAGGGGATGGTGCATGATCATGCTAAGTGTTGACAGACAGTTTTTATCAGCACAAGCCAGCCCTGCATGCATCCTCGTCTGGAATGTCCTCTTGGGTTTATTTTGTTGCACCTGACCTCCAGCCATCAAAAGAACTTCTTGGTATTTTAACTGACTGGACATCAGCCGTAGGTTTGAAGTTTAATCTGCTCAGCAGTCAGTACCTTCGCTCTTTGACAATATTCGTTTTCAATCAGACGTTTCTGAAGGTAAATATTTTGGGAAAAATCATTAGGGACATAGCGCGTGTCTCTGATGAAGCTCTCATTTACGTGGGATCAGAGACTTACTGCCGCCCCTGAATGCGGCTTGGTAAGTGTAGATTTAGGAGCCAGGTGGTATGTGCTACGCGTAGATGGACTGTTCAAATTCGTCAAGCATTGCGCCGGAGTCCATTTGTGGTAGTTGGGGTTAGGGTTGGGGGTTAGGGATTAGGCGGGGGCTTGTCTACTGCAGGTACAGCTACGAAGTAAGATCCGACCAAAACATCACAGGCAGTAGTTCATCAGCCGATCTCGACGAGGATCTCCTCTTCTCTGAGGCATAGGTGGCGACTTACTCTTTAGTCAGACAGTAACAGAACGGAATTGCGCTACAACCACTTCATCCCCTTTTTCTAGACCTGTGATGTTTCAGTGGCAAGATTAAGTCAATGCAATATGAGATGAACGTAAACGCAAGTCCCCGTCTGTGCCTGTCACAAACCTGCTGGCCGTTGAACCAGGCTTCACTCATTTGGATATCGTATCTGTGTGATTTTGTTCCAAAACTGCTTTAAGAATAAAACGCTACAACACGGTCCTCATTAGTAATATGGCAGGTTTTCTGAGAGTCATCCCTGAAGTAGCGTTGCTGGTGCCGTAGGAGGCAATCCACATAATTATCGCTCTGTTTCCATATAATCGTGACTTTCTCGATGTCTTACTTTGTCAAGTGCGTCATAAATAGTCCAACGTAACCGGCCGCTCATGAGAACTCCTAAAGCGAACCTCTGGCTAACTCGTTCTTGGCTAGAAGTTGAGGCAACTACAGACGTAGGTAGGTTGCAAGTTTAAAAGGCCTCACTACGCGGGGGGGGGGGGGGGGGGGGGGCAGCCCGGTGTCCCAGCTTCCCATTCCCCATCATACTGACTGACCTGGCGTAAAGGATAAGGCGATCGGTGGGCAAGTAGAGGGGACAGTTTCATCGGCTGACATACATTTATGCAAATGAATGATGTCGGGATGACGCTAGTAGGCGGTTAGCGCAACTGTCCAGCTTCGGGTGAATATACACCCGGAGGTGATGTAACGTTGGCCGGTCGGTGTTTCAGGTGACGTCAGGGAACGGCCTGTCGCCTATA